CCGGCCGGCCTGCCTGCCTGCCGGCTCCGAGGAGGAGGCGGCGGCGGCAGCGTTCGCAGAGCATCTCCTGCGCACGCGCAGGAGACGCTCTTGCACTTTCGGGGGGATTTAAACATCCCCCCGAAATTTTTTTTAACTTTTTTAATTTTTGTGCACACGTGGGGACTGGCCCACGTGTGCACAAACCTCCCCTGGCCCCCCAGCTGCCCCCGGAGTGCTGATTTAGCGATCCGCACTCCGGGGGCAAGTTCACTATTAGATATATAGATTCATTCAGTGTATACCCCACCCTCTCCACCAAGGCAGGTTCAGGGCGGCTTACATAAAATTCCATATAAATACAATTAAAACCAATAATAAAACCACCATAAAACAATTAATTTGTTGATTTTCCTGAAGTGCTAGAATGATGATCTGATAAAGTGCAAGAACAGTAGGTTTGAAATTAACAGTACTACTTAGGTGATGACAACAGTCATGATGGTATTTTCCCACCAGCTTAGTTTGTTCAGCTGGGCACAGGCTGTAGATGGTATGACCAGGGCACAGAATCACTCCTCAGATGTTTGGTGTGGCTCCTTAGTCGAAACCTCCATCTTGCAGGACCTGCAGAACTGTAAAAGAACTGTCTTCTGGGAGCTCATTCCACCAGTATGGAGCCACCACTGAGAAGGCCCTGGCCCTAGTTACGGCCAGCCTGGCATCTTTGGGGCCTGGGAGGGCCAGTCAATTTTGGGACCCTGAGTGCATTGCTCTCTGCGGAACATGTGGGGGAAAGGCGGTCCCTTAGGTATGCTCAGGGGTCATTTTGGGGGGGAACGCGGGGGATCGCAGTTCCCCCGGGTGAGGTGCGGGGGGCGGGGCACACTGCTTCGGGCCGCCCCACTTCCAGGCCTCATTCAGCCAGGAGGAGGCAGGAGAAAAGGGAGGGTAAGTTGCTTCCTCCCCGCCTCTCCCCACCCCTGCCTGCCTGGGGCCAGGGAGGGCCTTGGCGGGGCTTCCTTGCAATCCCGCCGGCCTTGCAGGTCCACCACCAGGCCCCTGATGTCAGGGAGTGTGGCATATGCTAATGAGTTATGCTAATGACCCCTGGGTATGCTAGACCCTGACCATAAAGGGCTTTAAAGATCAAAACCAGCACCTTGAAGTGAACCCGGTATGCTATTGGCAGCCAGTGCAATGAACATAAGAACATAAGAGATGCCAATGTTGGATCAGACCAATGGCCCATCTAGTCCAACACTCTGTGTCACACAGTGGCCAAAAATACCAGGTGCCATCAGTGGGGCCAGGGCACCAGAAGCCCTCCCACTGTTGAACCCCCCCAAGCACCAAGAAGACAGTGCATCACTTACTCCAGCCTGAGAGTTCCTGTCTATACCTTGTAGCTGATAGCCACTGATGGACGTCTGCTCCATATGCTTATCTAATTCCCTTTTGAAGCCGTCCATGCTTGTAGCCGCCACCACCTCCCTGTGGCAGTGAATTCCATGTATTAATCACTCTTTGGGTGAAGAAGTACTTCCTTTTATCTGTTCTAACCCGACTCCTCAGCAATTTCATTGAGTGCCCATGAGTTCTTGTTTTGTGAGAAAGGGAGAAAAGTACTTCTTTCTCAGCCTGCTGTATCCCATGCATAATCTTATAAATCTCGATCATGTCACCCCTCAGTCGTCGTTTCTCCAAGCTAAAGAGCCCCAAACGTTTTAACCTTTCTTCATAGGGAAAGTGTTCCAACCCTTTTATCATTCTAGTTGCCCTTTTCTGCACTTTTTCCAATTCTACAATATCCTTTTTGAGGTGTGGTGACCAGAACTGTACACAGTACCCCAAATGAGGTTGCACCATTGATTTATACAGGGGCATTCTGATTTGTTTTCAATTCCCTTCCTAATAATCCCCAGCATAGTGTTGGCCTTTTTTATTGCAGCAGCACACAAACATTTTCATTTTTAATTGCAGTTGCACACACACATTTTCATTGAGTTATCTACTACGTCTCCAAGATCTCTCTCTTGGTCAGTCTCTGCCAGTTCAGACCCCATCAATGTGTATTTATAGTTAGGTTTTTTGGCTCCAATGTGCATCACTTTGCAGTTGGCCAGATTGAACCCCATTTGCCACGTTGACGCCGACTCGCCCATCCTCAACAGATCCCTTTGGAGTGCCTCACAATCCTCCCTGGTTCTCACCACCCTGAACAACTCGTGTCATCTGCAAATTTAGCCACTTCACTGCTTATTCCCAACTCCAAATCATTAATAAACAAGTTAAAAAGCATCGGGCCGAGTACTGATCCCTGTGGTACCCCACAATGCTTACCACCCTCCACTGAGAAAATTTCCCATTTATACTCACTCTCTGTTTCCTATTAATTAGCCAGTTTTTGATCCACAAGAGGACATGTCCTTTTATCCCGTGACTATTGAGCTTACTTAGGAGCCTTTGATGAGGAACTTTCACTACAGGCTTGATGTGCTCCCATGTAGAGAGACCCATCAACAGCCTGGCTGCAGCATTTTACAATAGCTGCAGCTTCCAGATTTGAGACATGTAGAGATCATTACAGTGGTCTAACCTTGAGGTGACCATTGCATGGATCACTGTTGCCAGGTCATTGCGTTTGAGGAAGGGAACCAACTGCCTGATCAGCCGAAGATGACAGAAGGCTGACTTGGCAGTGGCTGCTGCCTGGGCCTCCATTGCTAAGGAGGCACTGGCTGCGCCCCATTGAAGGCTGGGAGTGGGACCCCTGCCCTGGGGCAACCCTGGCTCAGGCACAGGACCTCCGTCTTTGTCGGATTCAATTTCAGTCAGCTCAGCCTAAGTCAACCAGCCATGGCTTGTGATGCCCGGTCCAGGTCTTCCAGCATGGAGTCAGACCAGCCACCCAACAACAGATAAAGCTGGGTGTCATCCGCATACTGGTGATACTCCAGCCCATGCCTCCGGGCAATCTGGGCAAGGGGGCGCATATAGATGATAGATAGCACTGGGGACAGTACCGCCCCTTGAGGCACTCCACATGTCAGTGGATGCCTTCGGGACAGCTGTTCCCCTAGTGCCACCCTTTGTCCCCGACCCTGAAGGAAGCAGGGCTTGGCCACATCCACTACAGCCAAAACCTCTGTGTGCTTGGCTACAGAGGGAAGGCCTGGAGAACGACCCCACCCGGTGACTCCGAGGTGGGGGGGCGGGGGGCCCCTGGAAGGATTGGGGAGGCATTTAAATGCCTCCCCGTGCCTTCCCCAGCCTGTCCAAGGGCCGGCTTGCCCAGGCTCCCCGCAACCATGGGGCGTCCGGGCAAGCCAAGGGAAGGCAGTTTAAACTGCCTTCCCTTGGCTTGCCCGGACGCCCCATGGTTGCGGGGAGCCTGGGCAAGCCGGCCCTTGGACAGGCTGGGGAAGGCACGGGGAGGCATTTAAATGCCTCCCCAATCCTTCCAGGGGCCCCCCGCCCCCCCACCTCGGAGTCACCGGGTGGGGTCGTTCTCCAGGCCTTCCCTCTGTAGCCAAGCACACAGAGGTTTTGGCTGTAGTGGATGTGGCCAGCCAGAACTCTGTTCCTGTGTGTTCCTGCCCCAAAATAGCCGTGGAAGGAAGGATGCAAGCCATTGCAAGGCAAGGCCCTGAACTCCAGGGTTGGCGAGGCAGTGGATCAGTAGTTGATGGTCGACTGTGTCGAACACTGCAGACAGGTCCAACAGCAACAGTTCTGCCAATCCGCCCCAATCCAGATGCCTCCAGAGGTCGTCTGTGAGGGCAACCAGTGCTGTCTCCATCCCATGTCCTGGGCGAAAGCTGGACCGGAAGGGGTCTAATGTGGAATTACTGGGAATTCAGTTGAAAACACAGGAGGCCGCTTTCTACTCGGTCAGACCCTTCGTCTATCAAGGCCAGTACTGCCTGCTTTGGCGGTCAGCAGCACTGCAAGATCTTAGGCAGAGGAGAACTTTCACATCACCTCCTACCTGATCCTTTTAACGAGAGATGCTGCCAGGGGTTGATCTGGGGTGGGGTGGGGCTTCTGCAGGCTTGCAGGCTGAGCAGCTGCTCTGCCACTGAGACACGGCTCCTCATTGATTCCGACGGAGGCCATTGTGTGAGGGCAGGGTGCGGCTCTTGCCCTAATCTAAAATGGCCCCATGGAGCTCCTGTTTGCTGCTTGGAAAAGGTTACACATACCAATGGGCAAATCATACCGCTCTGCGGCCATTGTAGGTTGGGCAGATGGTGAGGGGAAGACTTAATCCCTCCTCCTCGTGTGCTGCAGCCCTGACCCAAATCAGCCCCCCCCCCGGAAGGTTACTCTAAGAAACGCCACCGGTACTTGACATGGGCCTCCCGGCACAGAGCTGGGCTAGTTGGTTTCCCAGGTAGATCCGTCTGAGCTCCTGGACGGCAGGTGCCCGTGAGAGATGGTGTCTCATTCAGATTCAGAGGAATGTTAATTCAAAATGCTTTTTAACATTTCAGTTGGAAAAAAACCTTTTGTATCAGATCTGTTTGCATTTGCCAGAACACTCTGATGTTAATTTCCGTTTCCCCCCACAGTCGGCAGAATTCTTTGAAATGCTGGAAAAAATGCAGGTAAGTGTTGTGCAGCCCATCCGTGGGCCGTGTATGCCAAGGGCTCTGGATTATTTTCTCTCATTTTTTTAAACTGCAAAATGTATTTAACTTGCGGTGAGTGAAGACAGACATGCACCTTAATGCTGAAGACCGACATACTTTGGAAAGACAGGTGGAAAGGCTGCTGGAACTGGTCCAAGGATGTTTCCCCTGAATCCTGAGGTGCACAGTCAGCTCTGCACAGAATTGAGGAGGTGGCTGATTGGGAGCCCGATTGGGAGCCAGCCGAGAGCCGGAGCAGCAGCTGATCCGCCTTCCCTCCTCAGTCCCCAGGGGCCACTAGAGACAGCACCACGCAGCTGCACATGCCCAGTGGGGCTTCCGGACTTGAGCTTGTGGGGCTTTGCTGTTCTGCCTTGAGAGACCCCTTCAGGCAGCCAAAGTGCTTGTTTTCAGGGAACCTTCAAGACCAATAAAGTTTCATTCATGAATGCTCGTACCTTGGATAAAACTTTGTCGGTCTTAAAAGTGCCACTGGACTCAAACTTGGTTCTGCTGCTTCCAGTGTTCCCTCTAAGCTGAGTTGGTGTGAGCTAGCTCACAGTTTTTTAGACTCCAGCTCACACGTTTTTGCCTTAGCTCAGGAAGGATGGCTCCAGAGCAAACTAATTGATGCAGGAGCCAAACTGCTCACTCACGACTTTAATGCCAGCAGCTCACAAAGCAGAATTTTTGCTCACAAGACTCCGCAGCTTAGAGGGAGCATTGCTTCAGACCAACACAGATACTGTTTTCAGGGAAGAAAGAGAATGTGTTCCACCCCCGTGTGCCTCCCTTAGACCTCGGTGCTTGTCTTCACCTGGAGTTAGTTTTGAACGGGATTTTTCTAGGTTTTGAAGCTGAGGCAGTGCAAAAGACACTGGCCAAGGGGGGCAGTTTTCATTAAAGGAGGGTCCCCAGTAACTGGATGGATTGCATGTGGCCTGGCCAGAGACCCCCCCTCACCTGGATCTACTTTGGATTTGATTACTACTCTGTGGTTTTCCTGGGGTGGGGGTGAGGGTACAGAAACACTGCCCTCTCCTCTCCTAAAGCCAGGGCAGGTCTAACATCCCAGTCCACAGACCCCCCCTGACATGTTGCGCCAGGCAGCATCCGGAGGCTTCCCTGCGAGAGCCTCTGCAGGGCGGTCTGTGGCTTTGGGATCATCAGTGCTGGATGCAAGGGCGGCCCATGCGGCAGAATGCGCTTTGCTGCCAACCAGTGGGGTTTTCATTCTTTGGGTAGGGCTTCTCCCTCACGGCGTCACATCTTCAGAGCTTGCGCTCCAACGTGCGCTCACAAACAACCTCAGGGGACTCGTGTTCCTGAGTGCTCCGGAGTCTGACTTCTCTCGGGAGTGGGATGAGGAGGGGCTTTTGCCTTCTCCTCCGTGCTGTTTTCCTGAGCCGAAACAGCCACGGGGAGCCCTCTCTGACCTGCTGTGGGGCACCACAGGCTGCAGCCACTGTACACGGTGGGCCCCGGGGGCAAACAGGCCCCCTCTTGGCTGTTTTGGCTTCGAAAAATGGTGCAGAGGGAATGCCGGATGTTAGTTCTCTGACATTACATGTGAATGCAAGCTGGGTCAGGGAGCCGATATCACTCACCTCATCTCGTTTAGCTCTGGGTCTGTTTGCACGTTGACCTAGGAGGGCACATTCAGATCTTCTCAAACTGAATCCGGTAAATAGGCTGACCACTTGTTGTTGTATTTCAAACAGGCACCAAAATTAGAAGAACAAAGAAGCGGAAGCCAGAAAAATAAGGTGAGTTCTGGAGTGAGACTTTCCTCAGCTGGAAACTCTGCCAGGTCTCCCTTTTTGGGGAAGGGTTTTCCTTGGAGGATGGCAGGGCTCTCTCTCTCTCTCTCTCTCTCTCTCTCTCTCTCGCTCTCTCTTGAAAAAGAGGTTCCGGAGCTCTCAAGAGGGAAATGAAGTTCTCACCTGTATACTGAAAACTCATGAACTTTTAAACATTTTTAAAAGAATTTTGTTGAAGGGGTTCCGGAACTCTGTTCCTGCGCATTCCCCCAGGGAAAAAGCCCTGGATGCTGGGGATCAGAGTTTTAAGAGCTCCCCGCTTCCCCAGCAGAGGATCCATGGACGGAGGTGGGAGCACCCACGAAGGGTGACTTTCTTGCCTCCCCCCTCTTGTGGCACCCGGTTCCTGCGGGACAGGGGGCCACAGGATCTGGATTTCAGGGGGCATTTGGGGCTATTATGGAGGGGTGTGGGAAACTCACATCCCACTGGTGGAAATCCAGGCACCTGTGAAAATGCTGGTCTGGATCCAAGCTGGTGGGACGGGGTGGGGGGGATGGATTTCTTTTGGGCAAAAGAGCATTGGTGAGTTCAAGGGGATTTGCAATATCTCTTTTATTTACAAATACAAAACATCCTACAAACAATGTGACAAAACAAAGAGGAGGCAGGAGCTCCATCGTGGGATCTCTGTGTGTATCTCAGCAGTCACGAGCATTTGTGGCAGGCTCTGAGTTCATGAGGAGAGGGCATTGAAACTTTTCTCTGCCCTGCTTCACCTGTCTCAATTGCCTCTCCTCCCTCAAGAGGAGAGGGAGTTTGGGGGGGGGGAGGCAGGCACATCTGTTGTGTATTTGTCCCCACCTGAGGGCTACACCTCTCTCTCTGCACATTGCTCAGATCAAAATTGGCTCCCCCCCCCCTGCTGTGTGTAAAGATATAACTGGCGATGCTTGTAGGATCTTCAATGCTGCCCTTGTTGCAGGCTCTTAGGGCCAAACGAGACCTTGGATTTTTAAAGAGACAGGTCCAGGAAAATGACTGGGGATGGGGAGAGAAGCCCCTCCTCCCCTTACAGTGACTTCTAAGCTGAATTGGGCTCTGCCTTCTTTTTTTTGGGGGGGACATCCCCTGCAGCTGCACAGGGAGGGGGAGTTGAGTCCAGGCAACCGGGATTTGACTCTAAAAAATCTAACATCCAGTTTGGGCCCTAGAACAGCTAGTAAAGGTGCTGGTTCATATTTTCTGAATCAGCAGGCTAGACCTCCACAGCCTTCTAGGTCTCTCCAGCAGAAAACTCTTACCTTGCTTGATCACTGAGTCCATCTGCATTGCCCGAACTCAAACATGCCAGGAGCTGTTCCTCTGCCTCCACTCACGAGCCGAAGGGCGTCACCTTCGTATGGCGGGGGGGGGGGAGAGTTTTGTCATCAGCAATGAGCCTCAGTGCCCTTTGGCCAGGCCCTCCAGCTTCCAGGCCCTTGTCCCTCTTACATTGACCAACCTGGACTGTATCTATGCAAGATAAGTGACAAAATAAACTAAAAATGGAAAGCATTGGGGAAATACTTCAGCCTCCCTTGACATTCAGTAACAGATTTAAAAATAGCCATACATTGGGGGGGGGGGGAATAAAACGGAGATTCTAGTGAGAAACTGCTGTCAGAATTTCCGGGCAGATTTGCTGATGGGGAGTGGTTCTCCTCGTAGCTTTATGTAGCCTGTTTCTTTTACTTTGCCAGTTCATCACTACTTCGGAGAGATCCATGCTCATTTGGATGGGTTCCTTTACTCTTTGGAGTAGCTCTTGTTGTAATCTTCTGAATATTGGTGATAGTTGGTTAATCTTTAAGGATTTTACACTGTTTTATAATTTTATCATGTTTTATTTTATAAGCTCCCTCAAGCAAGTTCTTTGGAGAGGTGGCATAGGCATTTTATAAGTGAATAAATACGCTGTACTCTTCAGTCTGCCCTGACCTGGCTAGCTCAAACTCATCAGATCTCAGAAGCTAAGCAGGGTTGGCCCTGGTTAGTATTTGGATGGGAGACCACCAAAGAATACTTGGGTCACTACGCAAAGGCAGGCAGTGGCAAACCACCTCTGAGCGTCCCTTGCCTTGAAAACCCTACGGGGTTACCATAAGTCAGCTGTGACTTGATGGGTGGTGGTGGGGAAGACGTTGCAGGGTAATATAACCCCCCACCATGTGTTGGATTTCTGGGCTTTCAGGACTCCTTTTCTGATAACTTTGTTGCCCTTCTATTAATAGCCACATCAGGAAGATCCTGAAGAGTGCGGAACTTAAATATTTTAATCATATACACACACATGCAGGGATCAGCCACTTTTTATAATGAAGTTCCATATTATATCAATACTAGGAATAAGGCCCACTGTGGAAATGCATACAACGAGCTCTAGAAAGAGGCTCCGGGAGAGTGCCCCAGCCTTGGGCCCTCAGCATCAATTTGCTATGGCGACCTCAGCAGGGTATAATGACACAGAGTCCACCATTTTCTCCAGAGGAACTGATCTCTGCTACCTGAAGAGGAGTTGTAATTTTGAGTGAACTCCACCCCTCACCTGGAGATTGGCAACAATGGTTCCCCAAACTGGCAACAATGGTTCCCCAGGAGGAATGGCTGGTTTGGAGGGTGAAGTCTATGGCATTGTATCTGTCTGAGGTCCCACCCCTCCTCAAACCCCACCCTTTCCAGGCTCCACCCCTCAAGTCTCCAGGTATTTCCCAACCTGGAGTTGGCAATTCTATCTCCTTCCCAGCCAAGCATCAGCCTGCCATTATCGGCCCCTCACTCTTCAGCTTTCCATCTTCCCCACACACACCTGCAGCCTCTACTGTGCTCTGAAGCCCTGACTGCTACGTCACATTGGCTGTCATAGGAGAGCCATTTCAGCAGGGTATAAGGACACAGAGTCCACCATTTTCTCCAAGGGAACTGATCTCTGTCATCTGGAGAGCAGTTGTAATTCTGAGTGATCTCCAGCCCTTACCTAAAGATTGGCAACAAGGGTTGCCCAGGAGGAAAATTACAGTTTTTCTCTGCAATGGAGACCAAAACAGCTTACATCTCTTCTCCCCCTTTTGACTTGCACAACAACCCTGTGAGGTAGGTTAGGCTGAATGGTTCAAAATCACCCATTCCACAGCAAGAACCTGGTTATAGCAGACCGTGCTCTGAAGCGCTGACTGCTACGCCTGAAGATCACCAGGTATCATAGACTCTACCATAAAATCTCCAGGAATTTCCCTACCTGGAGCTGGCAACCCTAGTCAGCACTGGCCCCAATGAGTTTTCTCCCAAAGGCTAAAATAGGCGTGGAAAGGGCCTTTTACTGACAGAACCAAGCTTGGTTGCCTAGCAACAAGCACTGAGGGGAAAGTAGGGTTGCCAGCTCTGAGTAGGGAGAATTTGGGGGGGGGCGAATCCTGTGGAGGGCAGCGTTTGGGGAGGGGAAGGACTCAGCAGGGTATAATGCCATAGGGGAACTGATCTCTGCCTGGCAGACCCTGCTCTGAAGTGCTAACTGCTATGCCTAGGGTAGCCAACCTCCAGGTGGAGCCTGAAGATAGCCGGGTATCACAACTGAACTCCAGACAACAGATCTCCCCCCCTGGAGAAAATAACTGTTTTGGATGGTGGGCTCTATGGCATTCTGTTCAGCTGAGGCCTCTCCCCTCCCTAAACTCTGGCTTCCTTAGACTGGCTTCCTTAGTTACAGAATATCCAGGAATTTCCCAACCTGGAGCTGGCAACCTTAGTCAGGATGGGCCCCAATGAGTTCCTCACAAAGGCCTGGAAAGGGTTTCCTTCTACCACAGCCACTGAGGGAAAAGTTAGTCCCACAGAGAAGCCAACCAGGAGAAGTGTCTTTGTCGGGAGAGACAGCTGTTTGCCAGTAATTCTGACAGGGAACAGTGGCTGAGGTGGGAGCGGGTGGGGAAGAGGAGCAGACCCAGCACCTAGCCAATGGCATGTGAGTACTCTTGAGTGGCGACTGACAGGCTAATGGCTGATGGAACACATTGCACAGCCAATGGGAGAGCTGGAAAGTGCCACCCCACTACTCAATTATATATAAGGAGAGATTCCGAGCAAGAGATCAACAAAGAGCCACTGTAAGAAAGACCATTTGCACAACTGAAACTGTGCGACTTGACGTTACTGATAATTGACACATCGATTTATAGTTTATAATTTCGTAGCCAAAGACTAGTATGTGTAAATTCGTTATTAGAAAGTAGCGCAGGTATCACAATAAGTAATACAGAGAGGAGCAGCTGGCACTATTGTGCAATGGAATAAATCCATACGTGGCTCGCACTCAAATGCTTGGCCAGTGTTGACCTCTCTCATTTCCCTTTCGGTAAAGCATCTCTAAGAAGCCCTTTGGTCTCTTCAAAATCTTTGCCTGACCTTCCCCTTCATGTACTGGTTATTCTGGCACCCCACCTACCCATTAACATAAAATTTCCTTTTCTTTTTTTGAAGAGGCCATTTTTGGTTCTGTACTGAGCCGCACCTGGCTCTGAAGCCTAAGGTTGTAGACTCCTGATATAGATACTTGTCCCTACTGCGTATCACGCTGCATGCATCTGATGACGAGGGCTGTGGCTCGTGCAAGCTTTTGCTACAATAAATTTGCTCTAAGACTCCTCTCTGTTTTGCTTGCAGCAGACTAGGTCAGCCACCCCCTCCGTTGCTTGCAGACAGTCAGACTCATAAATGCACTGATGAAGCTGGTGGAAGGACTTGATTGTGACTGAAAAACCGAGCCCCTGATTAAAAATGGCTAGGTGGGGAGCACCCCTAATCCAGCTTTGTGTCAGGAGTTTGTTGTTTTTCCCTCTGCACTGTGAAGTATTTTGCTGAGAAGCTTATGCTGATGAAGAAAGCAGGGAGAGCAGGATTTCTACCCCCCCCCCAAACATGGAATGGCAATTGGTCATGGTCAGTTATTTTATTTTTAAATTTGCAAGATCTGTTCAAACCATTGTTGATTGCATCCCCTACCTAATAATGCAGCTTATCATATTCCAAATGGTGCTTGCAGTAGAATTAATGACACACTTTTCTTCCTCTGGATGTTTTTCAGGAGGACTATATACCATATCCCAGCATCGACGAGGTACGTGCTCAAGGGGGGGAAATGCTCCTGACAGCTTAATCCTAAAATGAGTCACATCCTTTGAGGTCCGCTGACTTCGGTGGACTCTCAAGATTGTACCTCTCCTGAGGAATGGAGGCCCATGAGGTCAAGCCCAAGGCCGTTTGTGGCCTGAGTGTCAGCATGGCTGAGGGGAGCTGCCAAGAAGGACTCTGCAGTGGCTCCAGTCCAGGCTCCTCCTCTGGTGCAGAAAGGGATGGAGGTGTTTAACACCGTCCCCTGTGATTGGCAGGCCGTGTGGAGCCTTTGGATTAGCTGGGACTGGAGTACATTGCAAGCGCCCGGCTGTTGCTGGGCCAAGCAACAGATCAGTGTCTGTGTTCATCCTTACAGCAGTGGTTCTCAAACTGTGGATCAGGGCCTAAAAGTGGGGTGTGGCTTTCTCACTGGTGGATCGTGAGGACAGGAGGGAAATAGGAGAAACAGGATGAGCCGGGAGAGGAGTTTCTGGGAGCCAGGATGGCAAATTTTGGCATCAACGTTATGGGCAGCAAGGCCATGAAATGCGGCCTTTTGCTCAATGACGCTAGAATCAGTATATCTATTTCTGAATCATACCGCAGAAGATGTGATTGCTAGAGCGGCAAACATGAGCTAGGGACAGACCAGTGGGGGATTTCTCTACAAAACTGAAGAAAGACCTGAAATCTAAAAATAAATAAATTAATTGGGGGATTAAAACTCCCCAAAAGAACAGATACAATGTCTGTAGCACTAAAAAATGTCCACTAAAGTCTCAGGAAAGACAAGAAGGCCTGGTGTGATCTGGTCCATGGGGTCGCGAAGAGTCGGACTCGACTGTGCGACTGAACAATAACAAAAAAGGTCTCAGTGGCTATTGTGGGTTGCTAGACAACCACAGCAATATTGCCAAGTCTTCCAAACATTGGCTTCTGTACATCATCCAGTTCCTCCGGTTGGTTCAGAGGTCTGTAGTATACCCCCACAACAATATCCCCTTCTTTTTCCCCCTCGCTCTATCCTTACCCACACACTTTCAACAGGGCAACTCTCGAAATCCTGAATTTCAGTGCAAGTGTATTCATTCTTGACACCTCCTTTTTTGTTTATTCTGTTCTGTTTGAACAAGGTATATCCTTCAATCGCTGTGCTCCATATATGAGATTCATCCCACCAAGTCTCAGTGATACCTATCAGATAATTCTTACTTTCCAATATTTGAAGTTCAAGTTCCTCCTGCTTATTTCCCATACTCTGTGCATTAGTATAGAGACATCTCAGATTACAGACATCCTTCCTACCATAGGTCCCTTCGAATTTACCTTAAAATTACTGAACTCACCTCTCTCCTGTTCATTTATTCTCTAGTCCCTCCCTTTCTTGAACTTAGTGTTGAGGATGTGTTGGATCCCCAAGCATCGAGAATAAATCCACGTTTTCAAGAAAAGCAAAATTTATTTCAAAGCATTGGGAAGACACTCAAACACGTTCTTTGTTAGAACTGACTACAAACAGTTAGGGCAAGCAAAATAAAGGGATTTGAAACAGATACAGAACCAATGGGTCACTTTCCCGCTGGCGGGTGAAAGGAAACGGTTGCGCGCTCATTCCCTGAGAACCAGGCTATCTCCAGACATAACACAGGTGCAGTTCTCAGGCTCTAAAAGCAACAAGCAGGCAATGAAGCGAACTCCCCCAGTACGTCCTCCAGTTGTTTGGCTTAGGCATTACAGCAGATTAAAATAATAGCACACAGGCAAAGGGGGGGTAGCAACTGTACAGAAGAACCAGCAACACAGAACTCCATGGCAGCTTGCTGACATACTGCCCCCTCAAAAATACACATTAACCACCGTCTCCCGGGCTGGGCGGGAGAACTCCCGGTTTGGGCGGGAGACCTCCCGGTTTGGCCGGGAACTTCATGTGGAACTCACGAAGTAGATAAGGGGCCCGAATATCCCCTTCTTCCACCCATTCGCGGTGCTGGGGTCCGAAGTCCACCCATTCAATGAGATACCAGAGCTTACCACGCTTAAGT